ACTTGTCCAAGGCCACAAAGCTAACATACAGCATTAGGTATTGCTGTGAGTATTCAAATCCAGACTTTTCTGAATTCAAATACTGGGGTCTTTGTGGTTATCCAAGCTGTCTTCAGATGCACCTGTCTCAGGGTAGTTCTTTAAATCCAGGGGGTCATCTTCACTTGAGAAGCATCAAATTTTTCTCTCACCTCCTCTTATCCCGGTAATACATGCTCAAAGACCTGTTCTGGAAACAAGTACAGATTGCATCTTGGAAGAATCCGTGTTGACCATCTCTGGAGACTTCTGACACCCTGGTTCAGAGCTCTGCACTCAGCTTGCCCCGGCCTCTGCTCTCTTAAATATCTGAAGGTCACAGACAAGAGCAGCAGAAAGCACCCCATCTTCCAGCCCATGCAGGTGTTAACCCAGAGAAAACCTCTCCCAGCCTAGCCTCCACTCTCCTGGGTATGCTAATCCTACTGCCGGCTGCCCAAGCCTGCAGACCGGACTGTGGCAGATTACTGGGGCCAACCAAGCCTTCTAGTAGGTTCCTGAGAGAAGAATTTGAAGGACAAAGGAGGCGAACTGGCCACTTCGGTTCCCTGCATAGTACCAGGACAGTTCCCAGAACTCCGAAAATCACACCTCCAATTCTGTGCAAAGCCAAAGGATGAAGAGTAGGGCCGAGGCTGTCCGTGGGGTTTGGGGTTGCTGAGAACCGGGAGGCGCAGAGCGGGCCCGGCCACTTGGTTGCTGTCCCGGCAGGTGGACGCCCAGCCGCCAGCCGCGCGTGAACACCTCTCAGGAACATCGATCCATCACCTCCCGTTAGGGACCCGGACCGGGAAATTTCCATTCTCGGTTTTGGAAGTAAAAAATAAAAGCGACCAAGCACCGCAGATGGGTCTCAGAAAACTGAGTCAGCGCTCTGGGGTGCGGGTTTGTTAAACTCCCCGGCTCTGGGTTCCCCGCTCCAGGTGCCTCCCGCCTGGAGTCCCCGCCGGTTTTCGTGCAGCGCGTTCCTCTCAGGAGCAGACTGCGGCCGCGGAAAGGGGTTTCGGGGCTCCCAGAGAAGCAACGCTGAGCGACCTCGTTCCCATTCAAGCGCAGCTTGGAGGAGCTCCGGGACCCTCTCACTGGCAGCCAGCTGCAGGGGAAGGAAGGCGGGGGCCACCCTGGGGGCGGGGGGGGAGCCCCCAAACATGCACCCCCCCCGCGTTTATTGTAGAAGTAGCAGGAAATCCCTTCTGAGCGAGGGACATGTGTAAGGACTAAAGTGTATTCAGCTGGAAAAATCTGTGAATGCACAACGACCCACAGCTGGAGAGGTTTACGTCAAGCTTTCTCCCTCCTTTCCAGGAAAAAAAAAATTGTTATTTTTCTACGTGTTTGGAGAAAGTTTCCTTCTACAATAGATGTGTTACTAAAAAAAATAAAAATAAAAACAACGAACAACGGCAAAACAAAAAAACCCGTTCCCGGTGGACCTTAGATGATCCTTATTTTCTCCTGCAACACTCACGAACTGTTCAAAGAATGTTTTTCTTTTCGTTTGCTTGTTTTAATTTTCTTTCTAAAAGGGGCGTAGAGCGCTTAGAACTATTTTGAGTTAAACATTATTTTTATTTCAAAAATTCTGCAAGATTTGTTAGGTCTTTCCATCGAAATCCTTATTTACAAAACCCACTACTTTTAAAAGAACACCACATAAAGCTTGGCTTCTTTTAATAGACAGAGGCTTGGGCATTCGTCCTAAACAGTTACACACACCAATGAACAATTATTAAGCCATTTCAAGCAATTTGCAGTTAGGTTGAAGAGAATGTCTGGGCAAACTCCCCAAGTCACTTTTCATTCTTTTTCAGTTATTTTATAAACTTTCCTTCACACCTTTTTGTAGCTCAAAGGTTAGTCCAGGTAGTCTTCATTAACATGTGGGCATCTCCACTACCTGCCTTTGGCTGTTAATGCCCTTCTGTGGAATCCACTACCCGTGGGGGATGGGACAGTGTGTAGAAGGGATGGAGCCGAGAATGCCAACATCTGGAGAGACGCTTCAAGGGGATAACCAGTAGAGGGGATCGATAATGTGACCAGTGGTATCCTCCTGGTCCCTCATACATTCCCCTGCAGCCCAATCTTTCCCCCTTTCTTTCTGAATTCTATTAGCTAGACATTTGAGTAGATACATTTTTGTTTTTGTATTTTTTTCTTACAAAGATTTTTGCTATAGGTCACGTGGGCTTGCTGAGAGAGTGAGAGAGAAGAAAGAGAGAGAAACAGGGAGAAATCACCCCCCCCTCCCACCCCCAGGGAAGGGCGGCCATGCCATACCTTCTCCTCCTGAGATTTTTGGGCAGGCATGCACATGTGCCAGGTGTTGAGTTCCAAGCTGCAGGGTCTGGGACTCAAACCTCAGTGGCCATGTGGGAGTCCAGGACTTTAACCACTACCCCACCTGTATACCACCTGTTGGCCTGTGTGTGTGTGTTCAAGACAGAGTTCCAGTAGGGTTTAAAAGTCATCATTTTTTCACACGTTAGGACAAATTGGATCAGTTAGGCTGAGAAAAACTGTATCAAGGAAATGGATGTTTTATTTAAAATGAAAAGAAGCATGAGTGATTTCCAAGCCCAGGACAATTTGAGCAATGCAGCAGCAAGCCGGGGAATGTTGCCACTGGGAAGTTTAGGGTAGCATGGTGGGATGCCTGAGGACTTAAGGGTTTTGTGTGTAAGCACTGAGAAGCAAAGGTGAGAAAGCATTCCAAGGTAAACCGCCTTTGAAAAATATTGAGTCAGTAGAGTTAGTCTGTAATTCAAAAAAGGGTAAAAAGAGTCTCCTTCTTCAATGTTTATCTTATCCCTAGGGCCCTGCAGTTGAGTTAAACAATACTAATAACTGGATTAAGTATATTTTTTGTGGGCTAGCATGGAAACAAAGTTAGTTCAGAGAGAGAACAAGAGAGAGAGAAAGAGGGAAAGTGAGAAAGCAAGCCGTCAGGTCCAGGACTCAAACTGCAATCAACCATGGAGTGGTTGGGAGTGGGAGTTCAGCATCCCCAACCACCATGACACCTGTGGGTCCCATTATTTCTAATACCATTATAGAACAAATTCGGAGGTCCAGATGGTTCATGTCTAATGTTCAGAATATAAGTTTTCATTAATTCGGGGATGCTTCTAATTATTTTGCATTAACTGACATCATTTAAAAACTACTTATGAATAAATGCAATAGCAAATATGCCAGAATACTTTAGGAAACATTACAAGATAAAATTCAGAGAAATTGCAAAGTATAACAGCATTATTTTCAAAAATCCAATTCAGAAAATATTTTCTGAAAATAAGCACTAATTAATAATGTCAGTTGCTACTGGAAATAAGCACTAATTAATAATGTCAGTTGCTAGTTAGCATTACTAATATTAGTAGTTATTGGGGCCAGCAAGTGGCATGGTGGTTGAGGCACTGATTGTGGCTGACAGCAGTTCCAGTCCTGAACCTGATGGCTTGAAACTCACACTGGGCATGTGTGTGTGCATTCACAAGGTCCTGAGAGGAGAATGGAGAAGGGATTGCGGAGTGGCCATCCCCTCTGGGAGATGCTTTCTGTCTTTGCAGTGAGCGCACATGCCCTATAGCAAAAATCTCTGCAACAAAATTAGAAGCGATTAGCATGAATTACTAACTGATGATATACACCATATGAGTTAATATGTTATGTATGTAGTTAATATTTTCTCTTTCAAATTATTTTATTTAGCTTTATTTATTTAATTTGACTAGAAAGATACAGAGGGAGAGAGATCTAAATGAAAAAGCAAGCCTCCTGGTCTGGGATTCAAACTGTGGTTGACCACGTGGGAGCCCAGTGCCCCTAACCACCATGCCACCTGTAGTTAATATGTTCTTTGCTATGGAAATACACTGCCATAGTAACATAGTAATGTGTGTGCCTACTAGGTACAAATGATGGTGTCAATATCAGAGTGTGTGTGCTTACTAGAGAGAAATAGACACACACACACACACACACACACACACACACTCACACACACAGAAAATGAGAAACCACTCCCCAGGGGAGATGGTCACTCCTCAATTCTTCTCTTCCATTTTCCTCTCAGGACTTTGGGGCACACATGCACATATGCCTGGTGTGATTTTCAGACTGGTGAATTTGGAACTCAAACTATGGTCAGCCATGTGGAATGGTGTCAATATCTTTTACTCATTTGATTGAAAATAGACATTGTTTTATAACAAAACAGAAAAGCAAGAAACAAAACACAGAGCCAGGTAACCGGGATGTTTGAACTACTGCAAACATCTTTTACTGTATTTAATCTATACAAGTCTAAGAAATACAGAAATGATAATGACCAAATGGATTTTTATTGCCTGCAAGCTGTTATACTTAGGAGTAGGAGAGTATGTATATTGACAAAAAGCACACTTGCCACCCCATACTCTGAGATTTCTTACACTTGAAAGAAGACATATCCAGAATGGAATAAGACAAAAGCCCAGTGGAGAACCTAGTCTACATATGGGTTTGGCAGTCCTTTAAGTCCAGGAATACACCTGCAGACCAATGAGGAGTACTAAGAACCAAGGTTAAAATTTTTATACACATCACAACAATGGCAAATTGACTTGAGAAACAAACCTTGCACATAAATGATAAACTGTAAGGTACACACCATTTTATAAGGATACAATAGAGCTGGCACAGTGATCAGAGTGAACTCTGAACTACGGAGTTGTATCATGAGAAACACATAGCTTACTTTACATATAGGACATCACTTGAATGTGATTACAGAAAAAAAAAAAAAAAGGTCCATCTGCTTTAACGACAACAACAAAAAAGTTCATGTTCCAATCACAAATAAACCCAAAGCCCATTTAAGGTCAAGCTACACAAAAGATGATGATGGTTTAAAAAAAAAAGTTACTTGGCATTTTCCTTTTTAACTCTACTTCCAGGCTAACTCTTTAGAGAAATACAAGCATTTTCATTTGATCAAAATAATAAATGTAATTACAAAGACAATGTACAAAAAACAATGTCAAGGTCCTCCTTCCTTCTTCACAGCTGTGTGTCATCAGCCTTCTTCTTCTTCATCACTGTCTTTCATGGTAATACCCTGAAGTCCTCCTCCTTCTGAAACAGAGGCTGTGGCCTCCTCTACTGTTAGACGTCTGTGAAGAGTATCGTATGTCTTACTGTTCAGTGTTCCTTCCAACACACCCTGCAACCGAAAGTCCCTATAGCTTTTCTGGAGGAAGAAGAGAGAATGTGCTTAGAAAACTTGCATTACATACGTACTTACATATGTTTATATGTATAGGTAGATGTACTCAGCTAGCATTTTGAAATGATCTTGGATAATCCATTAATACATTCAGACTGTGGCTACCTAATGTTTGTTGGTGTATTTCCGGGCAGAAGATGTGATCCAAGACCCTAGACAGTGGCATTCAAATGACAATCGCTGTAAAAAGATTAACATGTTGTGACTGTCAGATGGTAACTTCTCCCTCAAAACATTACTATAATAATTGCACAGAATTTACTATTTGAATTACCAGTGATAAAGAGAAAATAATATGTAGTAAAATAACATTTTTAAAACTTGTCCTAAGTCACAGGTGCTCACTGGACAGAAAAAGAGAGAGGGTAAGGGAGAAGCACTCCCCTTGGAAATGGTCATGCTACAATCCTTTCCCCTCAACTTCTCCCTCCTTTTGTAATTTTAGGCATGTACCCACATGTGCCTGGTGTGTTTCTCAAGGTGCTAGGACCTGAACCACACAGTTGATGATGTGGAATCCAGCCACTTTAACCACCATGCCACAAGCTGGCCCCGTACATTATTTTTTAAACGTTTTTTGCTATAGAGGATGTGTACTCACCCTGTACATTTTTAAAAAATTTTATTTATTTATTCATTTATTTTAATTTGACCAGAGAGAGACAGAGAGAGAGAGAGAGAGAAAGTGAGAAAGCAAGCCACCAGGTCCAGGACTTGAATTGTGATCAGCCATGTGGGAGTGTCCAGCACTTTAAGCACCATGCCACCTGCTGGTCCCACCCTGTACATTTTTAATAAGGAATTCCTAGCTTTTTAACTAAGGAATTTTCCCTTTACTATTGAAATAAACATTTCCTGTCATAAAATATATTAGTTTTGGGGCACAGGGCAAGGATTAATCCTATTACTAATACAAAACATCCACATTTGGGGAACCAGCAGGTGGTATGGTGGTTGAGGCACTGGACACTCCCAAATGGCTGATTGCTGTTTGAGTCCCAAACCTGGTGGCTTGTTTTCTCTCTCTCTCTCTCTGTGTCTCTCTCTGGTCAAATTAAAATGAATGAAAGATTTAATAAAATTAAATAAATAATTCTTATAAAAGAAGACATCTACATTTGTACATTTTAAAATTCATCAAGGGGGCATCCACATTTGTACATTTTAAAATTCATCAAGGGGGACCAGCAGGTGGAGTGGTGGTTAAGGTGCTGGATACTCCCACATGACCAATGGCAGTTCAAGTCCTGGACCTGGTGACTTGCTATCCTACTTTCCCTCTCTCTGTGTGTGTGTGTGTTTCTCTCTGGTCAAATTAAAATAAATAAATGAATGGATAAAATTAAATAAATAATTCTTTGAAAAAACAAAATTCATTTAGGTATACTATGGGGTAAAAATCTGTATACAGATATACGTATGAATTTTGCTCTTTGACCTTCCTTTATATTCCCTTGGACTATAAAGTGCCAAATTCTGGCATAAAACTTCCATTGATGGGATAATACAACAAGTTGTTATATTTTATTGTGAAATAAAAAATTATAATTTGGTATATTATGTATAAAAATATCATTTATTTCTTTTTTAAAAAATAATTATTTTATTGAACTTTGTTTATTTATTTATTTTATTTATTTTAATTTGGCCAGAGAGGGATGAAGAGAGAGAGAGAGAAAGAAGGTGAGAAAGCAAGTCACCAGGTCTGAGATTTGAACTGTGGTCAGCCATGTGGGAATCCAGCACCCTTAACCACCATGCCACCTGCTAGACCAATCATTTCTTATTTGTATAATGGTAATCTCTTTAAAGAATTATTTAATTTGATTTAGTATTATTATTTTTATTTTGGCTAGAGAGAGAAAGAGAGAGAGGTGGGAAAGCAAGAAAGCAAGCCACCAGGTCTGGGATTCAAACCATAGTCAATCGTGTGGGAGTCCAGCACCTTAACCATCGCACTGCCTGCCAGCCTCATCTATAATGATTTTTGAAAGCAATAAAATTGAACAAATCTCTTCTGTAAGAGATTACTTAACATGAATCCATGGGAAGGATGGCATGTGGCATTGTGATCAAAGGTGCTGGATTTTACAAGCCCCACTGTGGTTCAAGTGTGGACCTGGTGGCCTCTCTCTCTCTGTCTGGTCAAATATTAAAAAACAATAATAATAGCTGGGACCAGCAGTTAGCGTAATGGCTATGTCGCTGGACTCCCATGTAGTCAACCATGGTTCAAGTCCTGACCCAGTGGCTTAAACTCACGCAGGGCGTGTGTGCATGCGTGCCCAAGATCCCAAGAGGAGAATGGAGGAAAAGGGATTGTGGCATGGTCATCCCCCTGGGAGGTGATTTCTCACTTTCTGTCTCTCTTTCTCTCTCTCTGGCAAGCGTACATGTCCTACAGCAAAAACCTCTCCAGACATAATAATAATAATAATAATGATAATAGCAAATGGAATTAACTAAATAATTTTTTAAAAACATATGCAATCTATAAAGCTTCCTTTATTATCTGTTTTAAAAGTGTGTGTTTCTTTTCACATAGAATTTTCCATGACTAAATAAGATTGATATCTCTAATTTCTAAAATTTGATAAAGTTCAGAGTTAGTTAAATGGAAAAACAAAGAACAAATGAAGATATCTCGTTCTGTGGAGACATTTTTTTTAGGGCATATGTTCTTGCTGAGAGAGTGAGAGATAAAGATAGGGGAAGTGAAAAATCGCCCCCTCAGAGGGGATGGCCACATCACAATCCCTTCTCCTCCATTATTCTTTTGGGATTTTGGGCATGCGTGCACACATGCCTAGCATGAGTATTTCAAACCACTGGGTCTGAGACTCAAACCACAGCGGACCATGTGGGAGTCCAGTGCCTTCACCACCATCCCACCTGCTGGCCCCTGTGGAGGCATTTTTAAGGCCATTTTTAATGCTATCTTTTGCAATTCTATTGTCATATGTTAGACATCTTATAGAATATTAAGCAGTGAAACTCTAACAGACTGGCCCAAAGTATCAGTATGTGTTAATATGCCACTGATCTGTTCTGACTGTTGGTGTCCACTTTTTGCTTTTCTTGTTTGGATTTCATAAGTGAAAACAATCAAATAAGGAACAATACTGTATTTCATGACCTAATAGCATAACTCCAATAGCTGGAAATTAACATTAAAAGATACTTTATTTTGCTGAACACAGGAGAAAGGTTCATAACATTTCTATCATAACATAGCTGAAGGTACTTATTCATATGAAGTAGAAAGTGCATCATCAGGGGCTGGCAGGTGGCGTGGTGGTTAAGGGCACTGGACTCCCATATGGCCGGCTGTGGTTAGAGTCCTGGACCTGGCAACTTGCTTTCTCACTTTCCGTCTCTCTCTCTCACACACTCTGTTCATCTCTGGTCAAATTAAGATAAATAAATAAAGTTAAATAAAATAAATCTTAAAAAAAAGTGCATCATCAAATCCTGTGTATATACATCCAATCTCTACTAACAATTTTCTGGAAGGAAACAGAACCATTACAAGTGGGGCCAATAGGATTTTTACAATTTATCTTCCTGTCTTTTTCTACCTGACTTATGTCCCATGGTACAATCCCAAGTTTCAGAAGTGATACATAAAGAGTTAAAAGAATAAGCAGCTCATATATATTATACACATATATATAAAATATATATACACACACACACACAATCAAGTGATTATCATTTGGATAATCACTTAATGTATATAAAATTTGTATCTGAGAGTCTACTACATGTCCAAAGATAAAGTAAACTATGAGGAAAACGGCATAATATCTGACATCAATGTTTTTATTTTTTTCTTTTTAATTTTTGCTATAGATTGCTTGTGCTCACTTGATACAGAGAGAAAGAAGAGAGACAGAGAGACAGAGGGATAGAGGGGGGAAAGTGAGAAAGTACCCCTTAAAGGGGGATGGCCATCCCTTTTTCTCCATTCTCCTCTTGGGGTTTTGGGCGCATATGTACACACACCTGGCATGTGTCCAGAACTCAAAGCCGCCTTAACCTCCATGCCACCTGCTGGTCCCTGAGGTGAATGTCTTAATACAAAGTAAAATTTACATTCAGAGAGCATTTTTTTTTAACCTTAAATGATAAAACTTATTTTCACTTAAACTTGAATAGCTTAAGACACATACAATCAATTATCCTTATATTCTCTTTCTAAGCTGAATAAACTTATTATGACTTTGTCATAAGCTTATTCTAAGCCATAGATTATTATGATTAAAAGTGGTACCCTCAAAACTACTGTAATGCACATCAGAACTGGTAAAGCAACTGTGAAAGGGACATTTTGTTTAGAGACACATATTAGCAAATTAATATACAAGGCATTACTATCATCGAAATTTGTGTTCAAGCCTGTAACTGTCTTATAGCTAGATTAAAAATACACCAAACTACATGAACACTTACCTACAGATAATGTACCTAATCAATGTCCCAGTGACAATTATATATGAGTTTCTGAATTTGACTTTCTTATTTTTTGGAATGACTTTCCTTCGACTTAGCCCAATTAGGACAGTTTAAATTGTGGATTTGCAGTTCTGAAGGCTTTCTCATTTACATACAATTAAGACCATTTCCTTATTCTCTTAGCAAGCAATAATCAGGCGAGCTGCGAGCTGCGGCGCAGATATCCTGCAACTCTCTCTCTTGGTAGAGTTTACAATTTGCTGTCAATAATTGGGCATCCCCTGTGGCTGCCACAAGGGCTTGGTGGACTCTTATTTAACACGAGTGCCTGCCACAGGGTACTGTTCACTTGGTTCCTTTTGCCCTAGCAAAAGAGGCAACTGGCTTACTTTAAATACTTTCAAATGTCATATGACCACTAGGGAGAACACAAGTCCAACAGCCATTTCAGTTATTTTAGGATTCTACTTTTCCCCCCCTCCCCAAATACATCATTTCTGATGTTAAAACTTTGCAAGTCTTTTCACAGCTCTCAATTTTTGGTGAAAGATCTTACCAAGATCTGTTTTCTCTTAGTGAGAAACACGAATTACCCAAGTAGCGCATAGGTGTCTTTGGAAGGCCACGTTGTCTATTATATAAATGTGAGAGCACATGGGTCTCCCTGGGTTTAGAAGAATGGCAATGTCTGTGAGTAGTTGGGACTAGACTGCTGGAGGGGAGTGGCTGTCCTCCTGGCCTGAGCACACTACTCTGCAATTCTATGCCAGCCAGATCTAACTGGGGTGGAAGGAAAGCTTGCTTCTCTGCCTCCACAATCTATACAGTATTACTGGATAGCTTCTTAAAGTTATTAAACAATAATCATTATGAACAAAGCCACATAGATTCTGAAGAATGGTGGCATTATGTATGAAATTGGCCTAAGTGTGTTTATATTTAAAGTAGGAAAAAACAATTAGGACATTAGATTCTTAATTCACCCTGATTTTCATTATAAAAATAACAATTTCTAATTATTAAGTAGAGATCTATGACTTGATTAAGTGCATCAGCCCAAGAAATCTTTGGCTTAGCCTGGGGACTCGCTTGTGAAATGCAAAACAGCCATTCTCTTCTCGGGATCTTGGGCCCGCACGCACATGCCCCCGGCGTGAGTTTTAAGCCACCGGGTCCGGGACACGAACCACGGTCGACTACGTGGGAGTCCAGCGACATAGCCATTACGCTAACTGCTGGTTCCCTCCCAGGACATTAAATTATTAATTTACCCTGATTTTCATTATAAAAATAACAATTTCTAATTATTAAGTAGAGATCTATGACTTGATTAAGTGTATCAGCCCAAGAAATCTTTGGCTTAGCCTGGGGACTCGCTTGTGGAATGCAAAACATGGAAAGTCAAACGTGTTCATGGTAGTTACAATAATATATTAAAATAATGTAAACTGGGGGAACCAGCAGTTAGCATAATGGCTATGTCGCTGGACTCCCACGTAGTCGACCGTGGTTCGCGTCCCGGACCTGGTGGCTTAAAACTCACACCGGGCGCGTGTGCGTGCATGCCCAAGATCCCAAGAGGAGAATGGAGGAGAAGAGACTGCGGTGTGACCATCCCCCCTGCGGGGTGATTTCTCGCTTTCTGTCTCTCTGTCTCTCTCTGTCTGTCTGGCAAGCACATGCGCCCTATAGTGAAAACCTCTCAAAAAAATTAAAATAATGTAAACTGATTGGCTTAGAATATAATGAAAATACCACTAAATAACTCATGAAATGATTCATTGTTCTTTTGTGCTAAAATATTCACTGCAGGGAATACTGAAGATGGGTGTCTTAGCAAATTTCAAATATACAGTATGAACTACAGTCATATCGTATATCTTCAATAGACAGTTTCTATTTGTCAATTATGTCTCAACAAAACTGAAAAAATAATTGGTGCTTTATTTTTAACTGTAAAGGTGTATGAATCTAAGAAAATGAGTAACTTTAAAAGAAATAAATAATAGGTTAATAGGACATGGAGATTTTTATTGTAAAAACAAAGTAAAGAGCTTAATAATCTGTAAACTAAAGTCAGCTGAACAGTGGCTTCTGACATCCTGAACCTACAGTAGACATTAACTGGACAACATGAATGATGGTAAGGATAACCAGGTAATCCTACTATTAATCACAGCATGGAATTAACATGTATGTATGTGTGTGTATACACACACACACACACACACACACACACACACTTAGAAGGTAAACACAGTATCCTGATGGTCTTTTACAAAAATCACACTTTCTTTGAAAACTCTTTAAGTCAGGTTTATAGGAATAAGAAAGAAATACAGAGAAATAAACCAAATATGAACATATTATTGTGTTTGCAGTTTCTTTGTAAGATAAATAGAACCTAGTAAGATGTATCCTGGACCAAAGGCATTTATGTCCTTTGAAATGTAAAACGTAGTTATAATATTACAATTTTATGAGTGGATATAATTTTACTTGCTACTTATGACTCCTCATGAACGCTATTGTTGCATTATGGGTCTGGGGCAGATTTGCCAATTTCTGACTTTGGAACTGCACTTTTTTAACCTGTGGTAATAGTGTGTCTCCCACACAAAAGAATTTGCATTTTAGGCTCAGCTGCAGTGGCCCCAGGGGGAAGGCAACCCTGTGTAATAGCTAAGGTCACATGGGAGGCCCAGCTTTGGTTCCTGGCCCAACCTAAACAGGCCAGTAGCAGAGACACATGCCTGTGGTTCTAACTAACTGAGAGGTGTGGGGGATCACAATGGCAAGACCCAGTCAAATTCAGGCCTCCACTCCCACCCATACACACTGTCTCAAAAAACCTGACAACAGTAAAAAAGAATTTGTATTCTAATGAGTATACAGGAATGAAGAGAATAAAGGCAAATATCTCAATGTGGATAGAAACGTCTTTTAATGACGTAGCAGTAATTCCTCACAAACTTTAATCACGTATTTAAAAAATGTGGAGGGTTTGTTAATATATATTAATAGATGGCTTGGTCCCACCCTCAGAATTTCTGATTCAGTTTTCAAAAGTTCCCAGATGATGCTAACAATTTAGGTCGGAAATGATAACCTTGAGGGACCAGCAGCTGGTGTAATGGCTATGTCGCTGGACTACCGTGTAGTCAAACGCAGTTTGATTGCCGGACCTGGTGGCTTAAACTCACCCTGGGTTCGTGTGTGTGCATGCTCAAGATCCCAAGAGGAGAATGGAGGAGAAGGGGTTGCAGTGTGGCCATCCCCCTCGGGGGGTGATTTCTCTTTTTCTGTCTGTCTCTTTCTTTCTGGTGAGCACCTGTGCCCTATAGCACAAAACTTCTCCCCCCCAAAAAAAAGAAATGATATCTTAAAAAGCTCTGTATGTATGCGTGTCTACACAGATATACCCACGCATACACAAAAATGAACATATATACATTACATGTATGAGCACACATACATATGTACCATTAATAAAAGGTTCTAAATGGAAGTAAAAGCCTGATACCGACAGTTAATTCTCAATAGCTTAGCTTTCTGCTATAAAGTGGAATTTCTGCTCAGTTTTAAGAAAAGGTTAAACTTGGGGCTGGTTTTCTATTTCCACTAGAACTTATAAAGTGTGAAAAGTTATTGGAGCTAGCAGGTGGCATGGTAGTTAGGGCGCTGGACTCTCACATGGCCGACTGTGGTTTGAGTCCCAGATTTGGTGACTTGGAAATCATGACAGATACATGTGCCTTTGTGCCAAAATCCTAGGAGGAGAATGGAGTAGGAGGAATTGTGGCATGGCCATCCCCCCTAGGTGGTGACTTCTCACTTTCCCTCTTACTGTCTGTCTTTCTCCCCTCTGGTAAGTACATGTGCCTACGGCAAAAACCTTAAAAATAGTGTGGAGAATTATGTTGAGTAATTTATTATTTTTAAGCCCTTTCTTACTAAATATAATAGGTTGGTTATTATCTTTTCCCTTACAGAGCGAAAGACAAAA